GAGCAGGAGTGATAATGGCAGTCAGAACAGGAGCGTGGATTGGAGTGGGGGTGGTGTGAGAGAAGCAGAAGGGCAGGGGAGGAGAAGAGCGTGGTTGGGGGGAGAAGGAGAGGAGGATAGGTACAGCCAGGTCCACCATAATACTTGTTATTTATTCTGTTGAGGATCAGAAACAGCTGCAGGAGAACCAAGGGAATGGTTTGGCTGTCAGCTTCATTTCTTTTTGAAACTTGAGGGTTTTCATGTTGCTGAGTATGGAGGCTTTGGGGCACTCAGTACATACTGGGCCAAAAGGAACTAGCAGAAGTTGGACATTAATTACAGAGATGCTTAAGCCAACAGGGAACTGGTGTGGGGAAGGCAAAGGAGATGTGAAATCAGGAGACTGAAGTTTAAGTCTTATCTTTCCACTCAGTAGACTTGTAACCTTGGGCAAGTCTTTTACTGTCATGGAGCTTCAATTTCCTCTTCTGTAAAATAAAGGTAAAAATAGAGCCGGTCCTTCCTGCCTGACAAGGTCATCATTGTGAGGATTAAATGAGATAATGGATGAAAAACCCTCTAATCTGTAAAGCCTTATACAAATGTTTGCTGTCATCATCACTGGGATTATTAATAGGGTTGAGATGTCAGTGGACTCGGAAGTGAAAACCAAGAACCCAGTGGTGAAGATGACACAGCATTTCATCAGCTATGTGGAAGGCAGACTCCTTTCCCATCCTAACCTGTCCTGGGACAGCCAGGCAGCTGCTGTCATCAGACGTGGTTCTTCTGAAGCATGTAATATGGGAGGATCATGTACAGAGTGATTCTGCCTAGAGAAGATGCCAGCTTCTAGGTCACTGTTTCGCAAAGCTGCTGGTAGTTGGGATGGTTATAACCAGAAAGGTTTTAAGTTTGAGAAGCAGATGGGATGCTGGAATAACTCCTTGTTCAAGGAACTTTCTTTTTATTAATGACAATCACACTATACCTTATCTTGGGTAGCTCTTTAAAGCTTACACAGTGTGTTCACATCCACTGAAGTGATTTCTCCAAAGAAAACCCCATTTCCAGAGGGAATTAACATGGCATGATTTCTGGACTCAGACATACCTGGAATTGGAATCTGAAATTGGACATATCTCCTTAGAGGCATATTTGAACTATTTAAACCACTCGCTAGCTTTGAACCTTTAGAGTACATCACCTAACCCTCTAAACCTCAAGTTTCCTCATCTGTAAAATGGAAATAACAGTACCTCCCACAGAACTGTTCTGAGGATTTGTATAAGTGAGTATATGTAAGTTGCCCAGCATATAAATAAATGCTCAAGAAATGTTAGCTATTGTTGTTATTATTATTAACTCAGAGGAGCTAAGTGTGTGTGTCAAATGACTCCCCAGGCTTCCTGACAATGTCACCTTTGAGGAAGGGGCCCTGATTGAGCCACTCTCTGTGGGGATCCATGCCTGCCGGCGAGCTGGAGTCACCCTGGGGAACAAGGTCTTTGTGTGTGGAGCTGGTAAGAAATAGATGACGCCTGATTATGAGTGCGTTGACTGCTATCTTATTCCCCTCAAAGGATTGAGATGGGTTCTAGAATCTTTCTGGGTTAGAAAAGATAACAGTATCCCATTCCTTCAGTGATTAGCACTTTTCTAAATAAGCTATTATCTACAGACATGATGATAACTAAGATTATATATCCTGAGCATCACAACCCATTTGTTTACTTAAAGAATGAATCTTGGGATTATGTTGAGCTGTTGATGGGAAACTAGAGAAATATTTTTGGTAGTAAAGGGAAGAGCAACTTTGGGATCTTATAAGTCACGCCAGAGAAGTGGTCACCCAGTCCATCCATGAATGAGGCAGATGCTGCTCGTAGCCAGTAGGAATAGGGTCTAGACCTCCATTCTGCCTGCATGGGGGGTACATCTAGCTGCCTTCTCTCCTCCTCTGCTTCCTGCCACATGGAACAAGCCCTAGCAGCCTCAGACCAAATCTACCAGGCTTCCAACAGCTGGTAACCCAAACAGAATGCTGGGCAGGAGAGAAGAAGAATAAGGAGGGTGAATAAAGAGAATAAGGTGTGATCTGGTATTCCTCAGAGGCATTTGTGAGTGGTGTTTTTCGGCAGCGCCAAATAAGTGACTACAGGGCTTCCTGATAGGGGTGAGAGCATTGATCCAGTGAGCCAGCAGCCTGTGGGAATCAGTTGAGAGATTTTTTTTTTTTAATTGTAAGTAATACCTTTTGCCATGGAAAATGAAGATAAGTCACACACATACACACACACACACATTCACCCAAATCCTCATCACACATTAGCCTGAGATAACCACTGTTAACCTCCTAGAGTAGAGTCTTTAGTCTTTTTTTTTTAATAGAACCATGTTGAATATGCTTCATTTGACTTACTCTTTTCTTTTTTTCAATCAATATATTGTGAACATATTTTTTTTATGGCAAATTATAAAGAATGCTATAACTACATAGTATTCCATTGTAGTTTATATAACTAACACCACTTTGTTAGACATTACAGTTATTTTTCAGGATATTTCTTTCTTTCTTTGGAAACCCACAGAGTTGTTTTCAAGATGAGTATCCAAAAAAGAAAATCCCCAAAGATGTCCTGTATAAGTTCATTTCTGGGGTCTGGTCTTTATATGAAAGCCATAATGTCATGTAGCACACAGATACTGTGAGGAAGCAGGGTGGTTTCTAGGCTAATTCTTGGATACCTGAGCATCCTGAAGCAGATGAGTCAGCCAGGGAGCTAAGGACATGTTCCAGGATGTTCCTCAGAGGGCACCTAAAAGGGAGATCCTTGCAGGAGGTGATGGATTCTCAAGAAGGTAGGAGTCAAAGAACAGGAAAATGTATCCCAACCTTCTGAGACTTCTTGTTTCCTAAACAAATGTATATTTCCTTGAATCTTTTGGTTCTTTGAGATTATCCCCAAGCAGTGCCCAATAGTAGGTAGAATATTCCTAGTCCTGAGGTATACAAGGGTCAAATGGAACCCAGCACTCAGAGCACATTTCATGTAGAGAATCAGTTCTCCATGCACTCATTCACTCATGCTTTCTATAAGCATTCGTTAAAGTCTTACTATATGCCAGGCATTGGGATGACTGCTGAGGATACACAGAAGATATGGTGCCTGTCCATGGCCTGGGCATGATAGGAAATACTAAATCTTTGACAAAAATCTTCTATATTCTGCTTTGCTTAGGACCAATTGGACTGGTCACTTTGCTCGTGGCCAAGGCAATGGGAGCAGCTCAAGTGGTGGTGACTGGTAAGAAGGTTTTCTTTTTTTAAAATCTCCTTGGGGAGAAAATAGCTGGGCCTACAGTTTGTACAAGGGGCATGAGACCCATTTCTTTCCTGAGATACTGGGTTTTTAAAGGGGCTCCTCCACCTTCCATGTGAGCTCCAGGGGATAATCAAGTCAGGGCTCAGGAAAAGGGCCCTTTTTTAAGTTGCTGAGAAAGGGTAGTTGCTATGGAAAAGGGGACCTGGCTCTTTATATGTGAACCTCAGATGCCTGCCCATACTTCCCTCTTGGCCTTAAGAGGGCTCTTGGGTCATTTGACCAAGCATAGTGGGAACTTTGGTAGCATAGTGGCTAAGACACTTGCCTGCTAACCAGACGGCTGGTGGTTCAAACCC